CCGAGCGAAACAAAAAACATTCCTACCTTTTATTTATTTGACAATTTTACCCTTGTTTTTACATTTCATTGTCAAAAACTTTCCTCCATTTTTACCCTATCAATTTCCCTTATTTTTTTTATATTGAATTAACGGAGCAATTGAAGGTGAGTGGATGAAGAACGTTTTTGGGAAAGAAGTATGAAAATAAGGGTGAAAATACCAAAAATAAAATGTGTGTTTTTCATAATAATAATGAAAAATATTGACATTTTGTGCAGGGGCGGACGCAGAACTTTAACGTTGGGAGGCACAATCGAACTTGAAAAAAAGTTGGTAGAAATTTTACAATAAAAAACTTACGTCTAAAAAAATCATACTCCATGTAATTTTACATCCAAAAATATACATGGGATATGACTTTTTCGGATGTAAAGTTTCGAAATTTTTTGAAAATTTCCTAATAAAATGATGAAAATTACATTGAGAAATTTGTATCGCAAAAATAATAAATGTTAATGAAATAATTGANATAGTTATGAATTCCATGAAAATAAGTTATTAAAATTAATTGTTAACTTTAATTTAGATTAAAATTTAAATTTCAATCGATAACAAACGTGATTTAAAAAACCAAAAAAAAAAAAAAAAAACTCAAAAAAGTTGGGAGGCACCTGCCCCTCAGGACCCCCCTTGGGTCCGCCCATGGTTTTGTGCTAATCACCCTAGCTTTTTATATTGAATTAACGGGGCAACTGGTCGTAAGTGGATGTAGTGACTTTTTGGCAAAAAAAAAAGAGGTTGAAAATGCTAAAAAATGAAAGGTATTGATGTTTTGCACAATAATATTGAAAGATAGAGACGTTTTGTGCTAATCATCCTTAAAAATTGTATAGGTAAAAATCGTGTGAGAATCATCTGGTATTGAATAATTAAATATTAATTAAAATAAAACTGAAGAGATGTGTAATTTGCGTTGGATTTGGATGGTCAACAAAAAATGTTGGCATCGGAATATTAAGTGGAAAAGAAAAGCGTTATTAATAAGCTAAGCAACACAATTAATTTACTGTCTCGATTAAACCCCCAAAAAATAGCATTAATGGAGAAAACCATTACTAAATTCACGTGGAATCTCTGTAAATCACGTGCTTTGATCAGTGTTGAGGTAACTAAAACCATCCTTCTTGTTATAGGTATGGATATTGCAATGTTCATGTTTAAGAAACATTTAATTAAAACGTTGTATCTGTTGGGAATTTACTTAATCATGCACAGCGAAATTAAAACAATTTTCAATTTCCAAACGAAGATCTGCAATGTGTTTAGATAGAAACTGAATTACACAAACTCTTTTACTTTTTCTTGAACTCCAATGATCACGATCTGCAATCCAAACTGTCCAATTGTCCAGCCTCCAATGGTGATCCACACAGAGAACAAGAATGATGGCTAGGTTTTTCTTTTCTCGTGTTAGCAAGAATAATGAAAATCTCATATTGTTTTCAAACCCTAGTAGCCTATTAATATAAGTCCAAATGGACTCGACCCATCTGTTAAACTTAATCTGGTCCAATATTTAATCAATCAAATTAATTAAATTTGGTCCA